CCACCTAGCGGCAGAATTGGCAACTACAAAACTTGTAAGACAACTTGAGTGACGTAAAAGCAACGGCGCATTTTTCTAGAGACCGATTTAACTGCGCGCCGCAAGATGGCGCTAGTAGTAATATAGCCTTTGTAACTGATAATAAATAGAGATTGTAGACAACATTTTCCGCCACCTAGCGGCAGAATCGGCAACTACAATACTTGTAAGACAACTTGAGTGACGTAAAAGCAACGGCGCATTTTTGTAAAGAGCGATTTAACTGCACGCCGCAAGATGGCGCTAGTAGTAATATAGCCTTTGTAGCTGATAATACACGAACCATTGTCGAATTTGAATAGTTTGCAAACCGAAATGTCAATGTGAAATTTTGTATGCAAAGTTGAACAGCAGCGGCACAAAGTACGGATTACGGATTCGATACTGGAGGCCTACTCTATTTCAACGAAAAACTAAATTTCGATCGAAATTTCGCACGTTTCTTACTCTGTTTCCTTTTCATTTCGAAAATTCGTTCGTCCGAAAATAGTTTGACAATTAAATTCTCCAAGCCTACACTAATTCACAAATCTTTCAAACTAAAAGCTGAATTTGACATAGGTATAGGTACCTACCTAATTGTTCAAAATTTTAACCTCAAATTGACGAATTGAAAAGTGTTACCTTTTCATTTTCGTTTTGGAACTTTTGTTTAAATTAAGCCTAAAATTACTGCTAGATTATTTTTAATCAAGGCTGCTTAGCATGAGGAAAATTTTTTAGCATGTCAAATTAACGTGCTAAGGGTACCGTACCCCTTAGCACGAACCAATATCGAATTCGTATCGTTTGCGAGTCCGAAATGTCATTGTCAAATGTGTACTGATTTTTAGTTCTCATTACGTCCTTTGCGGCGCTGCTGTTCAAGTTTCCATACAAAATTTGACATTGACATTTCGGACTCGCAAACTATTCGAATTCGATATTGGTTCGTGCTAAGGGTACGGCCTATAACGCACTAGCGGCCTGCCGCGATGCGGTATGCCGATGCGGCAGGCCGCAGTATATACGGTCAGCCGTAACGGCACGCCGTATTCCGGCTAACCGTATGGTCTTGGCTCACTGCGGTCTGCCGCAATCGTCAGTGCTTCTAGAAATATTGCACATGATGGACGTTGAGGAAGTTGCGGCAGTCATTTATTTATATCATCGTAGAAAATATCGTCAAAAAAATAAACATAGATTTTGGATACATCCTCTATTGGTGACACGACATGACGGCAAAGAGTTTAATATTTTTATTTCAAACCTAAAGAAATTTGAAGATAAGTTCTTTGGATACACTAGGATGTCAGTAAAATCGTATGAAGAATTATTAACAAAACTATATTTAAATATTCGTGGCCAGGATACACGATTTCGGATGTCTATATCCCCGGAAGAAAAGCTCATTATAACCATCAGGTAAGAAAACAATATATTAAGTTGAATCACATTTATTTAAGGCACATAGAAATAGAATCACATTAACAAAAAATCTACGGTGAATTAAACAATTCAGACATCAACGAAGCGTCGTCTTGGCTAGCAGATTCCTGAGTTGCCTCTTCAGTTGTATCCATTGAGTGCGTGGATGTACCTGGTAGATTTTGACGGTGTTGGTAACCTGTAGTTGCGGGTTCTCTATTATTGAGTCTACTCTCATACCCTCGGTCAGTGTAGTCACTATCAAGTGTTTGATATCCTCTTCCAGCATATTCACTTTCATACATATGGTTTCGATACCCTCGATCAAATTGCGTATTAGGATAACTATAATGAAATGATGGTTGTTGAGCATTTCTAATAGCTCTTATGATTTCACATCTCGCTTCCAATTTATTGGATTCTGGAATTTTTTTGAACTCCCTTAAAAGGGATAACAAAAACAACTTGTCTTCGTCATTTTCCATTTCTTTTTTATACTCCAAGTTTTTGTTCAATACTGATACCAATTGTTGTCCAATAACGTCTTCATTATTACTTTTTTTCTTTTTTTTCTGATTAGCTACATTCTGTGATGTTTCATATGGGCCATCATGGTCTTGGGAAAGATTGTTGGCAATGTCTGACTCTGTCTCATTTACCATAGTAGAGTCCTTTAAGAATAATAAAATATTATAATAGGTATATGGGCTTTTATGTTTGGCACCTGAACCGCTTTTCATGTTTTTCATATTTTTCGTAGCTTTTACAAAACTATCTTTAATATTCCGCCATTTTTTCATAAGTACTTTACCTGTAACAATAACCATTTAAATTCATAATAAATAATTATGTTTTTAGATATTTGGCAACCGGATGTACATTCGCTGAACTACATTACACATTTCGAATTGGTGCGAGTACAATAGCTGAATTTGTTCGTGAAGTATGTTCGGCAATATGGTTACTGTTAAAAGAATCTTGTTTACCGAAGCCATCTCAACAAGGATGGCTAGATATTGCAAAGGGTTTCTTTAAAAGAGCTAATTTTCCGAATTGCATTGGGGCTATAGATGGGAAACACATACGGGTAATAAAGCCGTGCCATAGTGGATCCATGTACTACAATTATAAGCAGTTCTTTTCCATTATACTGATGGCTATATGCGACAGCAACTACAAATTCATAACAATAGATGTCGGTGCTTGTGGCAAATTTGGAGACTCAGCAGTTTATCAACACTCTAACTTTTACAAAAAAATGATAGCAGGAGAACTTGAGATACCAGAATCAACACCCATATCACAAGTAAATACTATTCCAATGCCATATGTTTTAGTAGGCGATGAAGCCTTTCCCTTATCCACGAACTTAATGCGACCTTATGCAAAACCAAAAAATACTAATTTAAACACTACTAAGAGAATATATAATTATCGGCATTGTAGAGCACGGCGATATGTCGAATGTTCGTTTGGAATACTGAGCAATAAGTGGCGTATATTCCATAGACCTTTAAATGTGGATATTAGTTTGGCTACTGATATCATCAAAGCATGTTGCATTTTGCATAACTACGTTCGAGACAGAGACGGTTATAACTATGAAGATACTTTAACATGTTACATGCCGCCTGATGTACCAGAAACTCAGAGAACATATAATCGAATAGGTAATAATATCGCTGAAAGAATTCGTGACTCTTTCGCTCAGTATTTTGAACATGAAGGTAAATTGGAATGGCAAGATAAATATATATAAGTAAATATAATGGCATTAATCCGCAAAATCGCAGGAAATTGGGAATAAAAAGTAGGTATGATGATTGTAACATTGTAACCATGATTAATAAATAACGTAACTTACCGAGTTCTTTCTTTTCTTCCGATGTATTATCTTCCTTTGCATATATATTAATCATTTCCTCCCAACATTTTAACTTTTTATTTCTGTCTGCATAATCAGCGCATTTGCTATCCCATATTGCGGGGCGTTCTTTTATTTCTAAAATGAACTTTTCTGTATCAAAATCCATGACGCGCACGAGTAGTGTCTAGCGCGTGAAACAAGCGACGACGGACTGGCGGGCGGGACGCGGCGTTTGCGACTACCGCGCCGAGTGCGTGGTGGGGATGCGGCGCGCCGCATCATTCAACCGGCGCGGCTCGTCGCAGTTCCGGAACAACCGGAGCGGTTGACGGCTGGCCGCAAATCAGTGCGTCGTTATCGTGCGGTTTCATGTACTAATCAATGTGCGGCCTACCGCAACGGCACGCCGCATGGCGGCCAACCGCTAGTGCGTTATAGGCCTACAGAATCATTGTAAAAGACATTATTTTAATTGATAAACCAAAATTTTGAGAAACTTGTAACAAGTTGTCGTCCCGACTGCTGGGGCACAAGCGTTCACTGTGGATGGGTGGGAGATTTGGCTGTTACCCACCCGCGGGCCTAGTGCGGATTGGTGAGTGCTAACGACTAAACATGCCTTCCGAAGCATCCGTCTCTTTATTTCTATTTAATAATTCTTTCCAAAAATTGACTTTGCCCATTTCTCTTAGGGTAGTCATACACATAAGCGGACCGGCTAGGGATGTCGAAAGTTGAAAAAAATATCGATATATCGATACATCGATCTTTTAAAAAATAATAATATCGGCTTCGATATATCGCGAAAAAAACATCGATATATCGATATATCGGACCAATTTTCCCAAAAATATCGTACAGTAGCTCACGAAATATGACACGCGGAATAATAATGGAACGAAAATTATCACCCTAAAAATAGACCCTATTTTCGAATGATGACATAGACAATACTAAACACAGCACAGATCATGGCGGCACCGGGGCGAAAGCCCCGGGGCCTCCACAAACGGGGGGCCCCCACAATAGAGACTTCGGAAAAAAAAACATTCAAATTCCAACTAGTAAATACTAGTAAACATCTTTTCCTTTGATATTTTTTTTTTGCTCTTTTACCTTAACCTACAGACTACAGTACGTTGTACATCTAACATACATGATTATTTGATTATATTAATCTTAAATAACAGAAATCATTGATCTATATTTGTTTACTCCAATCAGGCAATCAGTGAAATATCAAAATCTCAAATGGCCCTGATAAGCACTTCCAATTCACTACCCATCTTGAGGGAATCGCTTAATGGCTGAGTGGGGTGGTATTTGCCCGCAGGGCCGAATTTAAGGCAGGGCAGGTGGGACTGTGGCCCAGGGGCCTCCACAACAGCTTAAGAAATAACAACATTTCGATGGGTCAACAAGAATACAAATCCTAAGTGGCCCGGGGCCTCCACAATCCTAAATCCGGCCCTGACACCGCGGAGTCTTTTCAACTATATGTAGATAAAGTTTAACATCATTTTACCCGCTTTTAGTGAGAAATTGCTCGCCGCGTGGCTGCCGGCCACTGTCATACCGGTGTAAATTGACCCTAAAATTTATAATTTGTGTTTTTACATTTCTAACCGTGTAGTCTAGACCTTATACAGAACGGTGCGGGTCCGGAAATGAAACCTGTCTTTAATTTCAATATATTGTATCTGTGTGAACCACACTTGTTTATTGGGACCAGACACAGTTTCAGACATTTCTCGCAGGACATTAGACATATCTGCCGAGAAGGTGACCGAACTTGTATTGTATCTTGTGCACGTATGTCTCGCCAGGATTCAGCACTGAATTCGGAAAGTTTTTCTGAAAGGAAAAAAAAAATAATATTATGAAATTTTTTTGTGGAAAAAAAGCCACGCGGACCAGGCAGCGGACGGGACTCGAACCCGCACCCTTCGCAATCCGGGCGAATGCATATGTGTGTGTGTGGAGCTCGATGGCGCAAGTGGTTAGCGTGTTCGGCTGCGATCGTTGAATTTAAGCAACTTTCGCAGTGGTCGGTGATTGGATGGGTGACCAAAAATCTTCTATCTCGAGTTCCTCCGTGCTTCGGAAGGCACGTTAAGCCGTTGGTCTCGGCTGTATCTGCAGTCGTAATCACCCGCCAATCCGCATTGGGCCCGCGTGGTGGGTCATGGCCCTATCTCCCTATTCCATCCATAGGGAAGGCCTGTGCCCCAGCAGTGGGGACATTAATAGGCTGGTGATGATGAACATACGGGTTGCATACGGGCATCATAGTGGGTGCACACCGGCAACATACGGGCATTATACGTTTCGTGTCAGTTTCCGTATTTGATACGGTCCTAGCACGATCATGGTATGAAACGGTGTAGTCGGCAGAGACCTTAATACGTAAAAACGATCTAATTGTGTATTAAAGTATTTTATACTGGTAGCCCTTATAATGATTTTTCCCTTACCCCTAAAGAATTTGAGACTTTTTATTTATTTATTTATTTTCATTTGGGAAACATACAGTTTTACACAATCAATTAAGTAACACTTATTACTATTTCATAAACCAGTTAAGTTTCCACAGACTGAAACATTCATAAACTTACATAATTTATAATTTTTATTATTTTTAAAGCATGTAACTGCTTGATGTTTAAATCTCAGTGCAGTGCATTCGCCCGGATTGCGAAGGGTGCGGGTTCGAGTCCCGTCTGCTGCCTGGTCCGCGTGAAATTTTTTCTAGTTATATTTTCTTACATAATTTGCTTAATATTACGTACAATATTTAGAATTGTGTGAGTAAAAGAAAAAAATAATTACTAAGTGTTAGGATAAAACAACCTTATAGCATTCATTTCTAAATTGGTTGTAAGAAAGGCAAAATATATCCAATCCCCTGAAGTATTTATTATAGCTGTGACATGCTCTAGAAATGAAACTATTTGCAGCAAACTTGGTCCTGCTGAATTGTATTACAAACGTGTTGTCAGACCTAGTTCTATTTGGACAACGGAAACCAATCCTCTGCAAAAGGAACGGCGAATCTACAAGGTCATTAATAAGTTTGTAAAGAAATAATTGATCTCTAACAGTTCTGCGATGTTGCAAGGATGTAACCTGTAACTTTGCTTCACAATCATTAATAATCAAGTTAACATTAATTCTGTTTTCTAAGTACTTTACAAATTTGTCTTGAATTCTTTCAATAGCATCAATGTATGTATTATACTGTGGATTCCATACACAAGAGGCATATTCAAGGTGTGGTCTCACAAATGCATTATACAGTAATATCAAAGTAGATGCGCAACGGAATTCTTTTCCAATACGCATGATGAAACCTAGCATTCTATACGATTTTGCAACAATATTGCTAATATGGTTACTGAAAATAAGTTTATCATCAATAATTACCCCAAGGTCAACCATCTCGGTTTTTTTTTGTGAGAATAGAATTAGTTAATTTATAGTTATAATTAATTGGCATTTTCTTCCGGGTAAAAGTAATTACTGCACATTTATCTGTGTTCAATTTAAGTGTGTTATAATTGCAATAGTTTACCAAGTTCTTCAAATCTTGTTGTAACAATTTACAATCTTCTATGGATTTGATCAACTTTATAATTTTCATATCATCTGCGTAGAGCAGTAAGTTAGAACTTTTCTATCTGAAAACTTAGTTTTTATTACAATTGAGCGTACTCACATGATTGATGGCATCGGGATAGTTCTGAGGCATGAGACAGAAGAGTCCGTGCTTCTTGTACAGAGCCCCGCCCTTGCCGAACAGAGGCACGTAACCATAGCTTCTTTTACCCTGAAATTGTTACAAAAATAAAAATTATTAATACACTAGTGGCCCGCCCTCGCTTCGCTTCGGTGTAAAGCTGTAGTGTAGACTATAGTTTTTGTTCTCAGGCTTGTATTATACACAATGACATTCTTCTAATACCCAATTACAATAGGCACGCGCCGCCAAGCCCGGTAGCGTCGGAACCGCTATGTCCCTGAATTTTAAATTTGTAATATCTTCGAAAATATTTATTTAAATTAAATTGTTCTATATTAAATGCACAATGTATTTAAGGTACTTAATTGGATAAGGATGAATGTTATATTGCTTAAAATCGCTTCGTAAATAATCTATTATTTCTCGTAAAAAGTATAGGATAAAAATTGGTTATTGTGGGTTATCCTTAGAGATAGACATATTCGACATCGATACAAAATAACCAATATCGAAATTCGTATCAAAAACGATATTTTTTTAATTTTTAGCGGCATATCACGATCTAACTAAATTCGTATCTGGAAAAATCGTAACTGGATCTCAGATTAATGATATTCAACATATCTATGATCTGTGCTGTATTTAGTATTGTCTATGTCATCATTCGAAAATAGGGTCTATTTTTAGGGAGATAATTTTCATTCCATTTTTATTCCGCAAGTCATATTTCGTGAGCTACTGTACGATATTTTTAGGAAAATTGGTCCGATATATCGATGTTTTTTTCGCGATATATCGAAGCCGATATTGATATTTTTTAAAAGATCGATGTATCGATATATCGATATTTTTTTCAACTTTCGACATCCCTAGTTTACATAATCTTCTTAACGACAGCCAGCTATTTGACATACAAATCCGCCGTAATTGTAATCGCTAGATGGCGCTGTCAACACACAACAAGCAAATACAACATTCAGCCTGAGATTTCTACATGTGTTTTAATTAACTCCATTTTTTTTATGTTATAGGGGGCATACGAGCAGACGGCTCACCTGATGGTAAGTGATCACCGTCGCCCATGGACACTTGCAACACCAGGAGTATCACAAATGCGATGCCGGCCTTTAAGGAAGGAGTACGCTCTTTTTTTGAAGGTTCTTGGGTCGTATTGGTCCGGAAACACTGCTGGCGACAACATATTCCACAGTTTTGTCGTACGTGGTAAAAAATTTCGACAAAAACGCACGGTTGTGGATAGCCACGCATCAAGATGATGGGGATGAAATTTTTGTCGCGATGTACGATGGCGAAATGCAGCAGCTGGAATTAATCCGAACAATTCCTCAGAACACTCCCCGTGATAAATGCGATAGAAGATGCAGAGCGAAGCTACACCCCTACGCAAAGCCAAAGGATCAAGCTGATCGGAAAAGTCCTGGTCGTCGACGATTCGAGCCGCTCGGCGCTGGATGCGATCCAAAGGAAATCATTTGAACATTGTTGCTTAGATTTAGAGTATACAAGGAGATAACATTCACCTCACTGGCATCGTCTTGTTCTTCCTCTTCTCGCGCACTCGACTTCTCACTCTCCGACTCTTCGCTCTCGCTTTCGCTCTCCTTCTCTCCTTGTGCATCTTCACCTTCTTCGCCTTCCTCTCCTTCCATCTGAATTGATAACTCATTGAGATCAACAGTTGAACCTCTCAGACTTTAAAAATTTCTATGCAAGGTCTTTATCCTTAGCTCTATCTTACTAATCTTATAAATTTGCAAGTTTGTATGTTTCAATGTTAGTTACTCGACTACACAATACCGGCTGAACTGATTTAGATTAATTTGGTTCACATAGAAATATAGTTTATTACCTGGATTGAGACACAGGATACTTTTTATCCCCATCAAATGTTTCTGGAGAGGAATTTAAAAATAACTAAAAATTAACGCGGCCTAAGTCGCGGGCGGCCGTTAGTGTTAAATAAATGTGACCATGGCTTGTTTATAAGATAATTACTGTACCCCAAGCGCGAACAACCTGCGTGAAAGTATTTATAAGTATTGGCATTTTATCTAGAATGCTTGTCCAGAGCCGAATATTTAGTTCAAAATTCAATTTTATTCTTTTTCAGGGGGGTTACATACACGTGATACATCATTGTCCAGAGCTCGTTTAGTAGGATATGATTATCGTACGTGTTCGAAATTATAATGCCCATTTACGCTTGACAGTTCTTTATTCACTACACAGTTCACGCAGTAGGTAAACACTCAATATTAGTCAGAACAATTCACTCTCTGTACACTATATTAATCATTATACAATGAGGGCTACCGTTTTCTGCCTCACCAGATGGCGCCACTGTTGAGTGAGGTCCTAAATTGTAACTTTTAAAGTTTATTAATACGCACATGAAATCAAAGGTTACATTTAGATCGTATTTTAACACAAAAGAACCATATCCTAAACATAATAGGCCATGCCACAGTGACGCGCAGTTCCGTTTTATTCGGAAAAAATGGGAACATAATCATTTTTCTAAGCTCAAATCGTTAATAACTTACATTCATTGCCACATAACTCATATTTGCCATAATTAAGCCGAATTGTTACCAAATATTCACAACATTATTTTAATTAGAAATAAACCCGCGTAGTCAACCAACAAGCAATAACATTTGACATTTCGGAGACCTCACGCTACACTAGCGCCTCTAGCGGCGGATTCATACGCGATAGCCCTCATTGCACTTTGATCGCCTCTATATGCATTCCGAAATTTATTGCTGTTGAAACTCAACTGTCCCTGCCCCGGAGCCAAGCCCTTAGAAAAGGGTAGCTGTGAAAGTTGTAATTTTTATAACATTTTTGCTACGGAGTCAATCTCAAAATCGAATCTGGTGAATATTTGATGATGTGGCCATCATACCAACATTTCAATTTCATAATCTCTTATCTATTAGAGAAGTCCGTCAGTCCTTCCGTGGTGCTGTTTCAGCGGCCAAACCGTAAGAGATAGATAAAGAGAATATTTAAGTTATAAGTTAAGAATAGTCTGATAAGACTACAAACCGGATTTGAGTAACGTAGCACTTCCGGTTTTCGAGAAATCGCGAATTTCAAACGAAACCACACAAAATCTCCGGAGTTCTCAATTAATTAAATACTTTTTTTTTTTAAATCAGGTTTTTGTGAACATTTGGTTCACTGGTTTGCTAGTATGTATTTAATTGTTTTATTATTGTTCGCGCACATCTCCGAGATCGATTCCGATGATTCTAATTTAACCATTAGATTAAGTACTAGCAAACCAGTGAACCAAATGTTCACCAAAACCTGATTTAAAAAAAAAAATGTATTCAACTATTATATATAAATACTATTATTGACTATTCTCAACTTATAACTTAAATATTCTCTTTATCTATCTCTTACGGTTTGGCCGCTGAAACAGCACCACAGACAGACGGACGGACGGACTTGTCTAATAGATAAGAGATATGAACTTAATAAGGAAAACCATTTGTTTTCAAAAATTGTTAAAGATAAATCGGAACCCAAACTTGAATTGCTTCATATTAAATGTTCATCTCTTCTTCTTGATACTCTCATTCATTGATATTAGGATTTCTTCATAACATTGCTCTTTTTGCATAAGAACCAAACAAACTCTATTTGTTTCTTAGCAGATTTATTTGAACTTATTCTTTTATAAATAAGTTCAATTTCCTCTTCTTTTCTCTCCACAAACAAAAAAAAAAAAACAAAAAATGTTCTTCAAACGAAAGATTCTCGCATGATGACATTTATGAAGGGCCAGATCAAGATTTTCTGGGGAAACCACATTCACTCTGCAAAGTTATCGTGGTCCGACGTTATGACCAACCGAAACCTTACTAAAATTACTAATTAAACGTATTGATCGTATAGTTTCTATACATTCAATTTGCACACATTTCACTGATACATTCACAATCTTTTTTAACATTTTACCTTCGTTACACAAAGAAGTACTTATAATAAGATGGCAAGCAAGTGCGGTGTAATCGACCACTCATAGCCTTTAAACGCTTGCGAGACCATGAAGTACATTGTCTACTCTGATCCTATAGCGGAAACAACGATTAGGTAGGCTTGTTGAAAACATATCGATGTATCAATATATCGATATTTTTTGTTCGATATATCGATATTTTTTGCCGATATATTTTGATTCGATATATCGATACATCGATACAAAATAACCAATATCGAAATTCGTATCAAAAACGATATTTTTTTTAATTATTAGCGGCATATCACGATCTAACTAAATTCGTATCTGGAAAAATCGTAACTGGATCTCAGATTAATGATATTCAATATATCTATGATCTGTGCTGTATTTAGTATTGTCTATGCCATCATTGGAAAATAGGGTCTATTTTTAGGGAGAAAATTTTCGTTCCATTATTATTCCGCGTGTCATATTTCGTGAGCTCGTACGTTCGTGTACGATATTTTTGGGAAAATTGGTCCGATATATCGATATATCGATGTTTTTTTCGCGATATATCGAAGCCGATATTGATATTTTTTAAAATATCGATGTATCGATATATCGATATTTTTTTCAACTTTCGACATCCCTACGATTAGGTGGAAACTCACCTCGACGATCCTATCAGGATCTGGAAGCAGGTTTCCAGTGTAGAACTGCATACCAGGCTGGTTGCTGTACACCTCCAGCACGCGACCAGTCAAGGGATGGAGTACTCTGCAACGATTGACGAAAACACTTTATTGTTATAATTTATAATTATTTTAAAGCATGTAACTGTTTCAAGTTTAAATCTAAAGAAAATATAACTAGAGAAAATTCCACGCGGACCAGGCAGCAGACGGGACTCGAACCCGCACCCTTCGCAATCCGGGCGAATGCACTGACCATAATTGCTATTTCTTCTTTCAAATGTTTAATACTTGTAAAAGTATTCATCTGATATTGTGGATTAACCTATAATGCGAAGAGATGGCGCTGCCTTGCGGATTAAGAATGGCTAGAATAATTTCGATGCGGTCCGTGAGGGCCGCGGTAGCATAATTGGTCAGTGCATTCGCCCGGATTGCGAAGGGTGCGGGTTCGAGTCCCGTCTGCTGCCTGGTCCGCGTGGAATATTTTCTAGTTATATTTTCTTTACACTTTATTGTGTTTGGTAGTTTACTATCATACACATTTGGAATCTATAACGTAGTTCGTGACTGACTGTGTTTCATGGGGCTGTCCGCAAAATTTTAATTTGGAACGTATAGAATCATCCCAGGATTCTACAAATAACATGCCAATACATAATATAATTAATAAAAGTTCTTTCTTGTAATATTCATTGAAGTACAGAAAAATAATCCACCATTATTAGACACTAACATTCATAACGCGCCCGCGGCCAACTTCATGGTGTTACTATTGTGTTACAGTGATGCGCGCGCATCTCTAAATTTCACTCACATGATTTTTTCATAACGCGCCCGCGGCCAACTTCATGCTGTTACTTTTGGGTTACAGTGATGCGCGCGCATCTAAAAATTTCACTCTCATCATTATTTCATAACGCGCCTAAAGAAGTATAACTTCAAAAATAAAGTGACCGTCTGTCTGTTTGCATGTCTGCACGGAATTATCCGCTTTCTTGTTTTCTTTCTGATCCTAGTATAGCGTAGAAACTTGGTCATGTAGTAATTTGTGGTCGCCCAATGCGAATCTAGAGTCAGATTTGAGATTCATTCATAGTCATAGGTTCAGGGATGATGAGGTCAGGGTCACCATAAAAGTCGTAAAGAAAAACCTAAATCTTTCAAACCTTTTTTTGTTACATATTGTCGACGCTCGTGTCTCCATCAATTTGCACAAGGAAAACGAAACGTAACGGGTGAAAGAAGCCGGTGAAAGAAGCCGCAAAGAAGAGCCGGGCATACGAATTTTATACGGCGCACAATACGCATACAATTTTTCTATTTTATTCAATTTATTGTAATTTATACGTATTTAAACGTCTTAATAGTAATAATATTAATGTGTACCGCATTAGATAGGAGACCTGACTGTACCAAACACATATTAAGATATCATAAACTAAAGAAAATATAACTAGAAAAAATTTCAAGCGGACCAGGCAGCAGACGGGACTCGAACCCGCACCCTTCGCAATCAGGGCGAATGCACTGACCAAAAAAAAATTTTTTTCTAGTTATATTTTCTTTAGATTTAAACATCAAGCAGTTACATGCTTTAAAAATAATAAAATTTATATCATAAACTGTTTGATACACCCCTGGGGGTCTACCCTCTTTCTCCGAAACGAACTTTCGATAACGAAGTTCAAACTAAATTTAATTTTGACTTTAACTTTTAACGATAAACTATCAAATTGATGCTTTCTTTGAGCAGGCTTAGAAAATCTACATCTCAATCTATATTCCGACGACGAATATTAATATACTTAAAAACGAACCAGAAACTTTTTTTTTTATTCGGGAATAAGTTATCGCTTGACCATAATTCGCCTGATGGAAAGCAATATTATGGTCTACGATGGAGCGCGCTTACCTAATAAAAACCGGTTCACTCTTGCTTTGAAGACCGCTAGATTGTAGTGCTCGGGGAACATCGGGCCCGAAATGCAACCGATAGAACACCGAAAGACTGGCAACTTGGCGTCGGTGTTCCAGGCTTTGTAACTTTGCCCGGCAAAGTAGGCTTGTTGAAAATATATCGATGTATCGATATATCGATATTTTTTGTTCGTTATATCGATATTTTTTGCCGATATATTTTGATTCGATATATCGATACATCGATACAAAATAACCAATATCGAAATTCGTATCAAAAACGATATTTTTTTAATTATTAGCGGCATATCACGATTTAACTAAATTCGTATCTGGAAAAATCGTAACTGGATCTCAGATTAATGATATTCAACATATCTATGATCTGTGCTGTATTTAGTATTTTCTATGTCATCATTTGAAAATAGGGTCTATTTATAGGGCGATAATTTTCGTTCCATTATTATTCCGCGTGTCATATTTCGTGAGCTGCTGTACGATATTTTTGGGAAAATTGGTCCGATATATCGATATATCGATGTTTTTTTCGCGATATATGGAAGCCGATATTGATATTTTTTAAAAGATCGATGTATCGATATATCGATATTTTTTTCAACTTTCGACATCCCTACGGCAAAGCGCGTCATTTGTAATGAGCTTTATCGCTCGTTTCTCAATTGCCTCCAACGCCTCAAGTTGGTACTTAAGAATAAGAAAATGATAAGAAAAGTGCGTATTCTCGATCGAAAATTCGTTTTTCGTTGAACTAGAGTAGGCCTCCTGATTCGCACAACAGTTGCTAATTCATGATTTTCGTTATTTTCACAATCTTTTAATCAACATTGTAATTCAAAAAGCAGAAGAGAATAGGTGTGATGACGGGGTACAGTAAAATTAATTCTATTTAGTTCTTCAGTTAGATGATCAAAAAAAATAATGGACACGTATTTTTTCTTTGGGCAATCAACCAAAAAATGACAAAGTTATAGCGCCTCAAAGTTTGGGAGTACCCTACTCCTAGCGCTCGTGACGTCACTTTTGAGTGAATTTTCACTTATAAGTGTACTCAAATGTGACGTCATGCGACTTTTCAAATCAATATATCTCTGCAATGTTTATATTATGTGAAAAAAGAAAAAATACGTGTCCAATACTTTTTGATAATCTACCTGATAAACGAAGAAAATAAAATCATCATCATCATCATCATCATCAGCCTATTAATGTCCCCACTGCTGGGGCACAGGCCTTCCCTATGGATGGAATAGGGAGATTGGGCCATGACCCACGCAGGCCCAGTGCGGATTGGTGGGTGCTAACGACTGCAAATGCAGCCGGGACCAACGGCTTAACGTGCCTTCCGAAGCACGGAGGAGCTCGAGATAGTAAATTTTTGGTCACCCATGACCAATGACCGACCACTGCGAAAGTTGCTTAACTTCAACGATCGCAGCCGAACGCGCTAGCCACCTGCGCCATTGAGCTCCTCTAGCTTTAGAGTAATACCGTTTACCACCAGGCAAGCCATATGCAGCGTTTGCCACTCTTTTAACATAAAAAAAAAGAATCGAGTTACCTAGCCTGAAACGCTATATCCTGCTCCGTGCCTTGGGTGATGCAGTAGCTGACATCGTATCCTCCCATCGGTATCCTGGGCATCATACTCCGGAGAACACGGGGTACTCTGAAGTCGTACGGAGTACCACCCACAACCTTTTTCTCTCCTGTTTACAATGCAAAATGTTGAACTACCGCAACTGAATCCATAAATGGAATGCTCTGACCTCTCACTTGTTTCATTTACACACCAACACCTTGAGCCTCTTCGATTACGCCGTGACGTAGCGTCACTAAGCGCGTTCTATCGTTTGTACCACGGCGAGTGTTCTGAGGAGTTTTTTTTTTTTTTTTTACAACACACACCAATTAGCCTAGCCCCAAAGTAAGCACTATAAGGCTTGTGTTATGGGATGCTAGGGTAACGGATAGAATACATATATTGTACATATATAAGTATATATATATAGAAATACATATTAAACATCCATTACTGGAGTACAAATGCTCGTATTCATCACACAAACATCTGCCCCCACCGGGATTCGAACCCGGGACCTCTCGAGTCGGCGACACCATGAAACCCGGCGTACAAACCACTCGGCCACGGAGGTCGTCGTAGAGTCTGAGGAGTTATTCTCTCTTATCCCACCTTCCCCTTTCCTTCAGAGGACCACGCGCGCTGGCCTACGTTGTCACCGTCTTACTGTGGCCACAATTCCAACGCGTACAAAGAAATTTGGTGACTCATTTCTTTGTCGCACTATCCGTAAATGGAATGCTCTGCCCGCTCACGTGTTCCCTCCTTCTTACAACCTGGGATCCTTTAAAAGAGGCGTGAAGAAGTAACATGCAGGCCGGCAGGGTGAGGATGGCTGGTGTGGCAGGTAGAACTGCTGTACCAGCTATCTTCACGTCTGGACTTCACCTTCACTTAACATCAGGTGCGGCGGAGTCATTTGTCGGACCTATCTATAAATAAATAAATACAAAAATGAGTCCGTTTGTACGGCAGCCGTATGACACTGATAGGTACTTCTTCTCGTGCCTCTCCTTCCAAAGCTGTAGGTTATCGATCATCTCTGAAATTCCTCCCATACTACCCTTATAATATATAATCAGTGCAAATTATTTCTCGGCGCACGACTTTTTAGTTTTCAGAGCGACTCATGGTCTTAATTTTTGGTCAAGATAATAAATAAATCTAAAAAAATACCTTTATTATATATAAAAATACTTTTATTCTGTATATATATATATATATACAACAACAAACATCATTAACTGATAGCAGTCAACTTCCATTTACCACAGATCTTAGCGAACTGTTATGTAGAATTTCTGAAGTTTTTGTGCCTTATCTAAGGTAGTTAATAATAAAATATAATAAAGCTTTTGACAAATTTTCGAAAAACGATCTAATTACTAATGTTTATGGAATCCATTGAAAGGATAATGGATAAATTGTCGTCGGCGTATTTAAATAAACTATTGTAAAAAAAACTAAATAAAAAATTTCATTTTCAATTTGCCGCGAAAACGTTTCTCTGGACAATATGGCGTCTTACTGGTATGTGACGTCACACAACTGTCCTTAAAAACATCAAAAAACACAATATAATATTACGTTGTGTCTTCGTCAATCCCAGGCGTTTTGGCTTACGTGACCATAGAACAGAAAAATAATTTCTATTAAATGATTTTTTTGGTGAATTTATTAATTACTAGCTGTGCCCCGCGGTGTTATCCGCAGTTTAGCGTAGCCTATGTGTTAATCCAGGGTGTCAGCTAACTCCATAACAAATATTATTAAAATCGCTCCAGCCGTTTAGACGTGAAGAAGTAACAAACATACACACTCACAAACATTAGCCTGTATAATATTAGTATAATTTGTTCTCTCAAAAGAGTGAAATCGCTGCTTATATTCATCTCTTATCTATTAGACAAGTCCGTCCGTCCGTCTGTCTGTCTGTGGTGCTGTTTCAGCGGCCAAACCGTAAGAGATAGATAAAGAGAATATTTAAGTTATAAGTTAAGAATAGTCTGATAAGACTACAAACCGGATTTGAGTAACGTAGCACTTCCGGTTTTCGAGAAATCACGAATTTCAAACGAAACCAAACAAAATCTCCGAAGTTCTCAATTAATTTTTTTTTTTTTTTTTAGGTTTTGGTGAAGATTTGGTTCACTGGTTTGCTAGTATTAAATAATACGATCACTTGCAAGCTGTCTGTCTGATACTCCTTGTTTACACCAAAATATTGCAAGAGTAATTCAGGTCTTTACTCCCCTATAAACAGGCTTCAAGCGCAATACAATTCAATAAGCAAAAAGGGGCCGTCCATATATTACGTCATTCTAAATTAGGGGGGGGGGGGGTTGGTCTGCGGATGACGGTAAATGATAGATAGGGGGGGGGGGGTTCGAAATTGACGTCATTCTTATTTATTTATTTATAGTTTATTGTTCACGTACAAAAAGATTATTTCTAAAAAGAAATTTCTTCCAGCACACCTAGTAAGTGAGACTGCAAATGTGAGAGGCGGCTAAGGCGCGTACAATACTAAAATAACTCATAATAAACATACATAATGCAACATACATGTACACAAATAAAGTAATAACTACAGATAAAATACTCTAACAATAATATTACATATAATACTAGTTTTTCTCAAATCTGCAATGTTTTAATTTTGTCAAACTGGTAATGACGTCAATTTTGGGAGAAGGGGGGGGGGGTCATTAAGAAGTGACGATAGGATGATTGTAGGGGGGGGGGGGGGTCAAAAATCTGAAAAAATCGATGACGTAATTTATGGACGGCCCCAAATAAGGTAATCGATTTATTTACTCCGAGTCTCCCTATATTTAAAGAAAAATACAGCTTAACACTTAATAACTTATCTATCTATCGTTTTTATTTGGTTTTTTTATCTGAAAAATGTAATGTAATGGACTTTTGTTTGCTTTTTGTTATTTTATAAAATCAGAATATTTTTGTAAAGGAGGCCTTATGCTCCTAATTAGATTAAATTTTTTTTTTGGTTTCCGTGACAGCCTGTTATTAAGGCAACACCAAATTATTTAACAAAAGAAATGTATAATTAGCATGTAAGGTATGTTCTTGTAGGTTGTCCAAATAAATAAAATAAATACAAATTTCAACAATTTGTACTTTATTTTTCATACTGTCAAATATACTATAAAAACTAGCAAACCAGTGAACCAAATGTTCACCAAAACCTGATTAAAAAAAAAATGTATTTAATTAATTGAGAACTTCGGAGATTTTGTGTGGTTTCGTTTGAAATTCGTGATTTCTCGAAAACCGGAAGTGCTACGTTACTCAAATCCGGTTTGTAGTCTTATCAGACTATTCTTAACTTATAACTTAAACATTCTTTTTATCTATCTCTTACGATTTGGCCGCTGAAACAGCACCACAGACAGACGGACGGACGGACGGACTTGTCTAATAGATAAGAGATTAGCAACTTAACTACTTTACCTGTGACAAGACCGTCGTCATCCACTACAGTATATTTGTCGGCGTTAATTGTAATTATGTGATCAAACATCGTTTCAGTCCCAGAGTGCTGTAAAAAAATTGTAAATTACCTTAGATTAAACCTCAGATTAAAACAAAAAAACATGATACGGCACTTCGGGCTCAAAATTGATTCGCTCAAATTGTGGTGCGTGACCACAATTCGCTTTAGTCACAATTGGACATCCAAACGCGATGTATGTGCACTCAATATATAACAATATTGCGTATATTATGTGTTATAAAGCTAAAACAATGCCTTAGATGCTTTTATGAAGAACAGAAATAGTTCAAGGTTACATCCACGGCAACACTTTTCATTATATTGTTTTAAACTTTCATGGTCACTAACATTATAGTAATATAAGTTATTTACGAGTTATGTCTATAAGATCGATTTCAGCTGTGGCAGTTCGTACATTGGCCAAACAAAGCGAACAGTAGCATGCCGAATGAGGGAACACATAAAAGCAATCAAGAACAACGATACGCAGAAATTAGCCATCGCGGAACATTTGAATGATTCTGGTCCTAACCACTGGATTGAGTTTCATAAGCCACAGATTATCTCGACAGAACGCCACTACATACCAAGATTGGTCAGGGAAGCGATTGAAATAACAAAACATAAAAATTTCACTCGTGAGGACGGGTTTAAACTGTCTAGTGTCTGGAATCCTGTGGTTCGTATGTGTAAAACCGGAAATAATCAAAAAGGTGTCGTGCCGCGAACCGATACTGTAAGTTTTGTGTGTCGAGAACAGTTTGAATGAATAGTGAGAATGTGAACAGTGGTGCGGGTATCGAACGCAATAAAAGACTTCATCGGAGGGTAGACCGATATGTCTGCCAATAACAGCCTACCCGCAATTACTTCAGTTACTCCGTGATCATGGCGCTTGCAGCAGTGCCGAAATATCGGAAACTCGCTAAAAACAAGGTACATGGTAACAATCCCGTAAATAACTTATATTACTATAACACTTTTCATTTGGTAAACTTAAAAAAAAAAAACTTTAAAATCTCGGTTTGCCATGAATGTTAGTTACCGGTTCGCCATTTTTATCGAGAAAAGGACAACAATACAACTCAGCCGTCTATAGAGAGAGAAAAGAAAAAGCAGCCGGTTGCAAAGCGACGCGGACCCCTTAGATTAAAACAAAAAGGGTAGATACGGTACGCTCATACTTGCATCAAACAAAAACTGATCCCACTTTACTACATATGCAACACTCACACATCCACCTGTTTGTAAATATACAATCGAACGAACGAAACAGCAATTTAAGTTTCAACGGCAGCGCGAACGGGACGGCGAGATTCACGTCACTGCATTACCGACCAGAACGAAACAGCACGTTAAGTTTCAACGGCAGCACGAACGAGACGGCGAGATTCGCGTCACTGCACTACCGACCAATCACGCGACCAGTACTCGACGTCACTACCGAATTAGATTCGAAACCATCAGCAATTTTTATGAAAAAATATATTTTATAGTACTTACGAATGAAAAGTGATGCCGTGGGTTTTATTTTTAGTTCTTGAGCAATTTTAGCACTTTTTAAAAACACACTTAGGCATTGTTTTATCATATAAACACAAAATATTAGCAATATTTCTTTTTGGCGTTCACATGTACGTCGTTTGCATGTCAAGTTGTGACTAAAGCGATTGTGGTCTTGGGCCACAATTTATGCGGATCACTTTTGTGAGGCTAGTGCCGTATCTACCCTTTTTTGTTTTAATCTAAGGCGGACCCGCGCCGTTTCGCTCACGATGCGTTGAAGCGTACAATTTTGTCTCGCTCGCTCGATTGAATGTTTAATTACAGAAGTGTGCGTCTGTGAGAGTTGCTTATTAATTTGAGTCGGATCATATTTTAATTGATGCTAGTATGAGCGTATCGTATCTACCATTTTTTGTTTTAATCTAAGATTACTACCCATAAAACTCACTGTTTTTCTACCACTTGTGCAATCATGGATCTGAAACTAGCTCTGTCAACCTTATTTTAAGACAGGTAGGGTATAGCCGTTTCTACAAATCAAGGTGACATTTGAAGAAGTAATGAAATGAAATGAATAGTCATTTATTCAGTCTAGGCTGTTACAAGCACTTGTAAAGGTCAAGAAGCTACGCCATCGGTTCAAATTCTGTAAGATGGTGTCGTTAATCACCATCTAACAGAAGACACAGTAAAATGATACTGATTTTTAATGGTGTTGTATTTTTTGTCAGTAGGGTTCCAGGTTCAGGGCTCCACGGGTGAAACATTGGCTACACTTGACATCAGGTGTGGTAAAGTATTTTGATCATCATCATCATCAACAGCCTATCATTGTCCACTACTGGACATAGGCCTCTCCAATTGCACGCCACTCAGATCTATCTTGGGGTACTCGCATCCAGCTCCTGCCAGCCACCTTGCGCAAATCGTCACTCCATCGCGCCTGAGGACGTCCTACACTACGTTTGCCTAGACGCGGTCTCCACTCCAGAACTCGTCTACCCCAACGGTTATCGGTTCTTCGGCAAATATGGCCAGCCCACTGCCACTTCAACTTGCTAATCCGGTGGGCTATGTCGATAACTCTGGTTCTCTGTCGGATTACCTCATTTCTGATGCGATCTTTCAGAGAAACGCCGAGCATAGCCCTTTCCCTAGCGCACTGAGCGACTTTGAACCTGTGGATCAGCCGTGCCGTCAGTGTCCACGTCTCGGCTCTGTATGTCAAGTATTTTGATGCGTCTCGTAAAATAATAACTAATTTTCGTTTCGGTTCGTCAACCTACTGACATCATTATGTTAGCTGGAAGGGTTTGGATAAAATTTGTAAAGCAGGTTGATTGTAGGCTTGATCATAAATAAATAAATAAACATTTCGAACACTCACACCAATTAGCCTAGCCCCAAAGTAAGCACTGTAAGGCTTGTGTTATGGGATGCTAGGGTAACGGATAGAATACATATACTGTACACATATAAGTATATTCATATAGAAATATATATTAAACATCCATGACTGGAGTACAAATACTCGTATTCATCATACAAACATCTGCCCCCACCAGGATTCGAACCCGGGACCTCTCGAGTCAGCGGCACCATGAAACCTGGCCTACAAACCACTCGGCCACGGAGGTCGTCATAGAATCCTTTTTCCTAGGAAATAAAATGATATACCTGTATCGAAGTATCAAATCTACGCGAAATAAAAATACCTAACGTAAGCTACTTCAGTGTATAGCTCATGTTATAATGTTACTGTATTTTACGGTCGTTGCGTTCCCTAAAAAATGGTTGAGCGAAGCGATGGCTGGTTCATGCGTCATGCTCGTGAACGGGTGCTGCCAGCGGAGATGAGTCTGCTCTTGCTTCATTGGATACTATTAACCGTTGTACTAAACTGTAATCGTTCATTTTTTTTTGCCTAAACAGCAGGACACGGCGTTCCTAAACTTTGTTATACCAGTTTTTTATATAGTCATAATTTTTATTATATTAGCATTTGTAATGGAAAGTGACTTTATGAGTTACCTCATATTGAAGTCATTTTTCAATTTGACGATTCTGTATACAATACAGGGAGAAAAAAACAGCCCTTGCTGAGTTTCTTGCCGGTTCTTCTCAGTACAAGGTCTCCCGCCGTAGATTTGCGAACCGATGGCGTAGCTTTTCGACATTCACAAGTGCTTGTAACAGCCTAGACTGAATAAACGATATTGATATTTGATTTTTTTTGAATTTTACATTGTTTAATTTAAAAAAAAATAAATTTCAAATTTCGTAGCGTATAGCAGCTCCTACGCTATACTTCATTGGCATTAGTAGTTTCATTAGCACCTGACACACGCGCTGTTCTCCATTCTAACGCTCATGTAGAAGATATAAAAAATAAAGATGTGGTTTTTGGTTCTACTACACCAATGGTCAAGAGATGGCGCTGTAGTCTCCTGAATCGCGCTGTGGTTCCGTTGTTCCAGATTAATAAATACTTTTGATAGGCCTTCACAATGCAGTCGTTAGCACCCACAAAATAGAGATTCTATTTCTATTTTGTTGGTAGATTTTCTTAATGTGCGGAAAACACAAAAGTAACAGCATGAAGTTGGTCGCCGCATCTTAAAATTTCACTCTCATCATTTTTTCATAACGCGCCTAAAGAAGTATAACTTCAATAAAAAAGATTACATGTCCAGCGAGGTTGAAGTACGGCATATTGCTCATGTTGACAATGGTAGGTTCACTTGTGGTGCATCGCATTTCGATCTTCAAGGTGTTTTCGCAGGTGACTTCAAAGGCGACCTGAACCATCACCGTGCCAGGGTAACCCTCGTGGAATCTCTCTGACACGTGACTCATTATCACCTTGTTCCCGGTGATATAGGAACGCCAGTTAACCTAGAATTTTGATAATAGTTTAACATATATATCTCTCCATCTTTCTAAATTTTTAAGCTATTGCATAGCTTTTATCGCGGGCTTTGAGCGCGGCGACCGAATCAAATTCCGTAACGAAAAAAACCTTACGAGAGTGTATATGAACACAATTTTCGCCATTCCAATATGGATCTTAACGGCGCAGTGTGTTAAGTATTTGCCACGGGACGGTCGTCGGTTCAAATCCCGCACTTGTATTTTTTTGTTTTTATTATTTTTTTCCCCCCTTTTTCCTTTTTTTATATATTTGTTTTAGACCCGAATAAACAATAAAAATAGGAAAAAAAATACTGCATAAATTAAATAAATAAATAAATACAATGAGGGCTATCGCGTATGAATCCGCTAGAGGCGCTAGTGTAGCGTGAGGTCTCCGAAATGTCAAATGTTATTGCTTGTTGGTTGACTACCTACGCGGGTTTATTTATTATTAAAATAATGTTGTGAATAATTGGTAACAATTCGGCTTAATTATGGCAAATATGAGTTATGTGGCAATCATCATCATCATATCAGCCGTACGACGCCCACTGCTGGACATAGGCCTCCCCCAAGGATTTGATTTCATGTGCGTATTAATAAACTTTAAAAGTTACAATTTAGGACCTCACTCAACAGTGGCGCCATCTGGTGAGACAGAAAACGGTAGCCCTCATTGCATAAGTTGATAAAAATGCTATGCAATAGTTTTACCGCGGCAGTCCCCGAGTGCCACACGTATTTTTCTTTTATAAAAAGAGGTTGAAACATGATTATCTTTTTCTCTTTTTTGATTTAAGATCTTGAGTGCAACTTGGCCTTAGTGTTAATACTCTTTTTCATTTTATTACCTTATCAAATCCAACATGTCCGCCGTGATAATGATGGCCACCCTTGTTTGAAGATAACATGTACATTCTACCCGATGGTTTCACTACCATAGTTGCATCTCTGATGTAGTTAGCATAGCGTCCTATGGTCGATCCGAAATAAGGGTTTCTCGGCTGAAAATACTCTGCAAAGAACTCCAGTATAAAAATCCTGAACTACGAACATACAGCTTTAAAAAAAATGACACAAATAAGAGTAGTTTTAGTATCAAAAACATTGTTTTTACCCTCCAACGTATCGAAACCAGCAAGAATATCATCGGGCACGCCTTTTTTATCAGGAACTTTTATTGCTGTTATAGTGGCGCCGTACGTTATAACCTAAGAAATAATAAAACAGTAAAGCGGGCTACTGACATCCCTGCCGCAGGGGCAATCTAGGGGGCAAGGCGGTCGGGGCAATAACGGCTTGTTGCCTGCCTGCTATTCAGTGTTCGGGTATAAGTTGAGCTAAAGACACGCGTTGGTTGATAATGGCCACAGTATTATCAAAAAATCGAAAGATCGGTAGGCAAGGCCTCGGCTCTTTCTATGGTATAAGCGCATAAAAGAAATACTGGGTGAAGAATTGGCAACAGAAAGAAATGTTTTAATAATAAAAAATGATTCTTTTTTTTTTAACTCACATGTGTGTCCGGTCTTTATATTACTTCTATCACTCGGTACCAAATTTAATGCTCATTATGATCTGCCGTCATGTTGATCGAAATACGTGAGCTCCGTGTGACAGTTACCAACCAACCGATTGAAAAATTACCCCTATCGCGCTTCACACGCGGCAACGTGCAGGGCGGCAGGGACAATCTAGGCAACAATGGTGGTCTTCGCGCCCCTGCCAACCTGCCGCAGGGCCAATTTAGAAAATTTTCCCTGCTTGCCTAGAAACATCACAATTAAGGAGGCAATTAAGGGTCATCCCCACTCTTCATGGAGCACCCCCACTAGAGTCCGCATACAAGGCAAGCGCTTACGCCAAGCTTAAGTAGTATTTTACCTATGCGTGAGGCACGCCCACAGACGTCGCGATACATCGTTTCATTTGGTAACCGAGCGTCGGTAGAACTGCTTCTCTCGTTTTCGTGTTAAAAAACTGTAAAAAATGCCTTACTATGCAATTCAATTGTGTGGAAAGTAGAGTAAAACTTCCAGTCTTCAAAAATATAGTATTACTTTTCACCGGTAAGTTTAAATACATTACAAAAAGACAAAAATACTCTTATATTAAATTGCTGTTAATTGTATTTATTTTTTGGTGAACGCGTTGATGTCTTTGTACATTGTCCCTTTCTCGCATGCGCTACATCATATATGCTATCCCGGTCTCACACCGGCACGTGTATTGCTAGTGACGCAGACGCAGATCATGTCTCAACCCGTAAGTTTATCGATAAGTTTGTCAGCTATGGAAATGGAAAAAATAAATAAAAACTATTTATTTCATCGTATTCAATAACAGATGTCATGAGTATACAACCAACAGTTTTTATTTGATTTCAAACATATCCTACTAAAATTTGAAAACGCGAAAATTTGTATGGATATTTGTTAGTCTTTCACGCTAAAACGGCTAAACAGATTTGTATGAAATTAAATGCGCATAGTTTTCGACCTAGATAAAAACATATAATTAAAGATATTAAATAGCCTAGATACACCATGAGCGCTCAAAATGTGTCCCAATCAAGAAGTGCTTGAGCTCCTCTCAAGTACTTCTTGGTTCACAGTCACGCGCGGACCGCTGAAAAGTCAAGATGCCGCAAAGCTAAAATAAATTAATAACTTAAATATATAAATCGAACTATTTGTGCTATTTGTGAACTTATGTGAACTATTTGTGCACTTTCTAAAATCGTCGAAGGCATTATTTTATCTTTTAAAACAAGTAAAAAATATCTGCAATATTATTTGACAAATTGCGACTACAGCGAATTGTGTGCATGCAGCTAATTTAAAAGGCTCATTTTTGAGACGCGTATCCGTGTGGTCGGGGTCTCTTTTTGATATCTTCCCATTTTGACTTAATTTAAGATGAATTGTTATATATTTGTAATATATTATATTGTAAATGTTATATTTTTGTATAAACAAAAATATAATGTATTTAAATATAAATAGTGCATCTTCGTAAAAATGGGTTTTACTAAATTTCTTTATTGTCATAAGTACCAGAAAATATTAATTAAGGGGCCTTTATTTTCGGGTCGGTGCGAGTTTGTTTTGTTTTCGATTCTGTACCGAATCTGAACAGATTCTTTCCGAGTACATATAATTTAGTGAGAGCTTTCCCACTAAGTGGTTCCCGTACAGATCTTTACCGAGCGGATACTTAGCTCGCTGTGCCGAGTGCTTCCGAATGCTACCGAATCATTCGACTCGCCTATGCTGTCACTCCTGCAAACAAAACGAAATGAATCCGTACTGACCCGATGAGTAAGGCGCTTTAAGTTTTAAAAATTATTTTATGATAATATCATCATATTATTGTCTATCTATATATTTGTCACGTGTTTTTTTGTGTTGCTTATATATTATTTAGTTTGTAGTTACTGGTCGCCTCATGTAATTAGAACGCACCAAAGTACTAGGCCTCTATACTAAATTGTTTATCGATAGGAAATATCGACATTTTCTAAAATCGATCTTACCCTCATCACTTCGCTGCACTGAGTATATGATCTGACCTTGACGCGTCCAATCACAACGGGGCTGACCTTCCCTGCACGCCGCCGACTTTGGCGATTTTGATTCCAAACAAAATTTGTGTGATGCGGACTCTAGTGGGGGTGCTCCGTGCCACTCTTACACCCTTGATTGCCCCTCCGGCAGGAATGTCAGCAGCCCGCTCAAGTTTGCACGCCCTTTAACTTAAGTTCTTTTTACTACAACAGATATTCACATTTACCTGTACATTCATTCTATTTTTTGTTTTCCACGTATACCTTCTAACAATGTCGATGTTAGTGCTTGAGACACAAGGACTACTATACTCTGTACCAGGAACTTCATGCTCTTTAACATTTTTTAAAGATTTATCTGAATCTTTAGATGTTCTACTTTTTCTTGGAGCTGATTTAGGCATAAAACCAAACCCGTCTACTATGAGCTCAACGTCTGGAACCTTGGGCGGCTCGGGATCCGGTGCGGTAACTTCTGCTTTTTCCTGTGAGACTACATCACCGCTTGCTCTTTCATCTGCCTCATCTGCCATTGTCAAAACTAAGAATTTGGAGTTTCAACCTAATTACTTAATGTTTTATTATTATTTACACATTTATCTACAAAAATTTGGTCTATCGAAAAGATTTTGCTGTCATATTTTTTGTTTTATTAAACCAGCTGATTTACTTGTCATCTTGACATTTGATACATGAATCTAGTAAACCGTGTACCTATAGAATCTATTATTTGCATTTATGAGTGCAAAGAAAGAGCATGGTACAGTGGTACAGTATGAGTGTAACAATTATAAAAATATTCAATTTGTATTTAAAGTGAATATACAACTAAATATTCTGTGAATATCTAAAGCCGTGCAGTGTTTCCGTTATTGAAATATAGAGCAAAGACGACAAAAAAAAAACACGTTTGTTATATGGGAGCCCCCCTTAAATATCTCTTATCTATTAGACAAGTCCGTCCGTCCGTCTGTCTGTGGTGCTGTTTCAGCGGCCAAACCGTAAGAGATAGATAAAGAGAATATTTAAGTTATAAGTTAAGAATAGTCTGATAAGACTACAAACCGGATTTGAGTAACATAGCACTTCCGGTTTTCGACAAATCACGAATTTCAAAGGAAACCACACAAAATCTCCGAAGTTCTCAATTAATTAAATACATTTTTTTTTGGTGAACATTTGGTTCACTGGTTTGCTAGTTAATTTTATTCTATTTTAAGTGTTGAAATGAAATGGAATTATTATACTTTATTCCAATCGACTTATAGAAAGCTCCTTTAATCGTCCAATTTTTTCCCCCTACCCTTTTTCAGGACATCTTTTAGCTGTACCCTTAGCACGAACTAAAATCGAATTCGTAACGTTTGCGAGTCCGAAATGTCATTGTCAAATCTGTAGTGGTTTTATAGTTCTCGTTACGTACTTTGTGCCGCTGCTGTTCAAGTTTCCATACAAAATTTGACATTGACATTTCGGTTTGCAAACTATGCGAATTCGATAATGGTTCGTGCTAGGGGTACTGTTAAAAAAATGGGCGCAAGAAACTTATCAGCATTGACAGAAGTAGCAACATTTAGTTAAAATCATGTCGTTACCAATAATAATTAATTAGAAACATTAGTTTTAATTCACTCTGTATGTACTTGTATTTCAGTACAGGATGAAAATCCTAGTTCGGCAGCAGACGCTAAAGATTGTCTTTTATATTCTTAAGCTCATATATGGTGTCCATAGTTTATAAGACGTAATGTTACTTATATGCTGGTCTAAATAAATATTATTACTATTATGTGTTACATAGTCACTTGTGAATTTAATGAGAAAACTAGGCTTACTTCAATGAGCGAAATGTTCTTTATTTCTAGATACTTCCATCATTTAAGTTCTCTTGGACTCGATAATATCCTTTGCCCATCAGAGTATTTTCCACATGAATTTTCAGTTTATGTAGAGGTATATTAACAATACTGTGTGGTTACTTAATAAAAAAAGCTATACAGTTAATACGTATAATCACCAAAAATACAAGAAGCATATTGGATTATTGTTTCATTTAATTATTATGTTCGGACATTTCTTTTGCCCAATAATTAAGTAACCTTTTGGAAATATTAAAAATTACACTATATTTGAACTTAACTATGGGAATAATTTAATTTTTATATAATATTTAGATTTAGAATCCATAGCTTAGAAGTCAAACTGTATTTGGTCAGTGAATAAAGGCTTTTATTATTATTATTATTATTATGGGAATAATAAAACTACTGGCAATTATTGTAAATTATATTATTTATTATTCGATTTCAAAATTGCATTGTAAATTACAACATCAAATCATTAGTTCACTTAAATGAAACTTACTGAAATGAATAATCATTACATTCATATGTTATCTAAGTTAAAAATAATTGTCACGTAACTGTGCAAAATAATAATATAATTTGAACTGATCGTAGCTTTGTACGTTAAACGTGGATTCTTATACCCAAAATACTTTAACAGTCTGTTTGTCGAGTTCCAACGTATCAGTTTTCCAATTGCCATGTTCATTTAATATATCTGGGATCTCATCAATATAACTTACTTCTTTACACGGCGACGGTGGAATAATGCTTATGATAGGAATGCCAATCTCCTGAAATGAGCTCATAGAGGAAAACCCACTTTCGTCTTCAATAAAATTGGTTACGTGACTAAATTCATTCCGTTTATTGTGCGTACTTTTAAGTATTTTTCCGTTAACTGGTTCTGCAGCATGCTTCTCAGACAAAGGAGTCTGTCGCTCTTTTTCATTCAATCCAAAAGTGGCAAAATCATTTTCTAAACCACAAGTGAGTGGTGACTGTGACACGATGAAATCATTAATGGCGGAATCTTTAACTTCTATCAGTTTATTATTAATGCTTTCATAAATATGTTCGCTGTTGCTTATTGAGTTTATTATGATAGCTTTTGTTGTATCTTCTTCGATGAGACTTAGGGATTCCATCGTATCGTTGACTTTTGTCTCCTCTTTTCCAATGGCCATTGTTTCTGTAGTTTTATTGATTCCATCTTCAAGGTTATCAATGCATGTGCATGCGAGATCAGGCAAATTCGTGCTGAGGACTGTATTGGCAAGAGTTATCAGCCTTAAAGTTTCTTCTGAAATCTTTTGAGAAATCTCTTTATCAGAGACAAGTGAGCATGCCATCAGATTTCTGAAATAAATAATTTTATTGATTACTTACATATCTCATAAAAAATATGAAACTAGATTTATCCAATGAATTCAACGTGATCATTTGTACCTGTGACCGATACAATCCTTGTAACCGTTTACGTTACTAATGGATTTGCTAATTTTTTTGGCACTAATCTTTTTAGCTGGAATCGAATACTCTAAATTTTTGTTGACATGAAGAACCGATCTGGATCGTGGTAAGTCTGCGGCGTTGAAGGACCTCGGTGAAATTCGAGTCGTCTCCTTCCTCGGGCTTTCGATTTTTTGATTATCAATGTGATCTTTGACTCTGTTCAAAAACGATACTATTTGCTTGAGCAAGGCTATGTGCATTTGCCTGTTTGCTTCTGTCTGAAAACAACATACACTAATATTGGAAAACTAAATCACATAGGTAGTTACTACAAATGAGCAATTATTCGAGCAATTTGAATGAAATGTAAACATTTAAAATTCGCTGTGTATTCGCAATGCAAGTTCGCGTGGCAAGCAACAACAATAATCAAAATAACATATCAAATTGGTGCACCAATTGGCCAGCAGCTCTTCTTACATGTTACCCGATCGAAACAGGATGTGAACGCAATCTTTTATAATTGACTAAGATATTTTTGTGTTATTGGTGTCCAACAGTCGTGTTTTGATCGGGTTTGTGTGGTTGTTTTTGTTGGTATGCGTGTAACCTGCGCTAGCTGCCACCTCAGAGTGTCGACCTCCATGTGCAGCGCGGTGACCTCGGTGCAGCGGGGATCAGATGTCGCAGACGCCGGCGCTCTGTCCGGGGACTTCATCATTTCGCCGTTCTGATCCATAACACTTTTTGAAAGTTGAGAGTGATCCTCAATTCTTTCTGGAGCCTGTGAACAAATATATGTTTTTGATTAACGTTAGTGTGGAGTAGGAAATAAATTTTAACTTTTTTACGAGTAACATTCAAAGTGTTGCTTTTGTTATGCAATTAAAATCAAATTACAGTTGTACTGTAATCTAACGAACAACGTCAAGATATTCAGAGAAATGACAAACCAGTTTCCCTCAAACCAATACTACTAATCTTTATATATATAATTCTTCTGTGAGTGTGTATGTCACTGAACTTCTCTTAAACGACTGGACCGATTTTGATGAAATTTTTTGTGTGTGTTCAAGGGGATCTGAGAATGGTTTAGATTCACAATTTTGTCCGCTAGACAATGTTTTTTTAATTAAATTTTTATAATGCGGTACGAAGTTCGCTGGGTCAGCTAGTACATATATAATAATATTATAATTTTTATTTTAAGCATGTAACTGCTTAATGTTTAAATCTAAAGAAAATATAACTAAAAAAAATCCACGCGGACCAGGCAGCAGACGGGACTCGAACCCTCGAATTGTGGGTTACTTACAATGCGAAGAGATGGCGCTGCCTTGCAGCTTAAGAATGGCTAGAGGAATTTCGGTAGCATAATTGGTCAGTTCATTCGCCCAGATAGCGAAGGGTGCGGGTTCGAGTCCCGTCTGCTGCCTGGTCCGTGTGGATTTTTTTCCAATACTAATGTTCTTAGGAATTACTTTGTTTTGGTTTTACTAACTAACTTTTGCCCGCGACTTCATCCGCGGGGAATTTGCTTCCGATCAATTGAAGTTTTAATATGTTATGTATTTCCCCACACAAATTTCCAGCCTCATTTTCACCCCTCTGGGGGATGATTTCTGGGAACAAAACTATCCTACGTCCTTTCCCGAGAGTTCAACAATATAATTTAGCAAATCCATGTTAATCGATTCAGTGGTTTAACCGTGAAGAGGTATCAGACAGACACACTTTTGCATTTATAATATAAGTATGTAAAGTAATATCCTTCTGCTCACATGAATCAAATGACTTAGAGAAAAAGTGTGTCAGCCATCATTACCGAGGCGGAAATCGAACTTGAAAGGGGAACACCTCAAAAACATAATTCTAGTAAATTGCATTTTGTGCGTTCTTCCAAATAAGCGTGGGATGATTTAAGGCACACGAGACCTACTTCGTGTCACAGTTTTGTAAGACATAATTTGTAGAAAAAGTAAATGTATTGACATTAAATTTTTCTACAAATACAATACCAAAATTTCAGTTCTGTAACTCATTCCGTTTAATAGAGAGACCCTCTAGAGACCAGTGACATACTGACAGACAGACGACAGAGTGACAGCAAGAAGGTTCCTTATTTCACGACTGCCCAATAATAAAGAGTGTAATATAGGTGACATACTGACAGACAGACGACAGAGTGACAGCAAGAAGGTTCCTTATTTCACGACTGCCCAAAAATAAAGAGTGTAATATAGGTGACATACTGACAGACAGACGACAGAGTGACAGCAAGAAGGTTCCTTATTTCACGACTGCCCAAAAATAAAGAGTGTAATATAGGTGACATACTGACAGACAGACGACAGAGTGACAGCAAGAAGGTTCCTTATTTCACGACTGCCCAAAAATAAAGAGTGTAATATA